CCCATGTTTCTAAAATTGGTGTAACAGATTAGGGCCTTAGCATGCATAGAAAGTCTAATTGAATCTTTGTTTTGTCTTGCTAAAAGTGGAAGATGTTGGATTGAGGCAAAGATGTATCAAATGTTGAAGTTGGTGAGGTAACGAATTCAACACAAAATTTCAGGGGTAGAACTTGGGTCTGTGAGAAAGGAAGAGAGAGCAACAGTTGTGGTAATTGTGGTGATGGCGACTGTGAAGGGATAATGGGGTTGGGGAAGGGGAATTGGGAATTTTTTTTGTTTTAAAGAATTATTTTTATTTTTAATAGTTAAATTAAGAATTTTAAAAGACAATTTTTAATTTTAATTTTTCTTTTCACACATGGCACTTAGTTTAGCCAAATAGTGGGTCCCATTGGTGCCACATCAGCTTTTTTAACAGAATTTTTAACAGACTTGACGGTGAGGGGTAAAGTGAGACACAAGACATCGGTCAATGAGGTAAAGTGGGTCACTTTAACTTTGAGGGGGTAAAGTGAGAATTGACTAATGTTTCAAGGGGGTACTGTAGCATTTAAGCCTAATATTTATGATATTGGGTTTTTTTTAAGCAATGGTCCCTCAACTATACCCGTAGTTAAATTTTGGTCACTCAACTCTAAAAATAGCTATAGAGGTCCCCCAATTATGTATGGTGTTGCATACTAGTCCATTTCATCAAGTCTATCTATTTTCTCATTAAATCCATGGGTAAACTTGGAAATTTATTCCAAATATTTATAAAAACGAAATAACAAAAAATAAATAAGGGTTATTTGTAGCATTGGTTCCTCAACTATACTCGGAGTTACATTTTGGTCACTCAACTCCGAAAAATAGTTACAGAGATCACTCAATTAGGTGTTGTGTTGCATCATTAGTCCCTACTGTTAGAAGACTTGACGGTAGGGACTAATGATGCAACACAACACCTAATTGAGTAACCTCTGTAACTATTTTTGGAGTTGAATGACTAAAATGTAAATCCAAGTATAGTTAAGAGGCCATTGCTACAAATAACCCTATGATATATAAGCATTGTCAATCATATGGCTGGCATTTTAGACCCAAAAACAGCAAATATCGACCGAGGTTTTACCGTATCTAAACTGACCTATCATGAAAATCGACCGCAACATGCGGTTTATAAAATCGACTGCAATTTGCAGTTGCAGTTGTGGTTGTGGTTGCACATATCCAAATAATGTAGTATAGACCGAAAAATCATTTAGATGAACCTAAACCCTAATCCCTAAACCCTAGTTAATCTCTCTTATATCTCTTATATCTTCTTCTTTTCTTATTCTTTTTCTTTTTATTCTCTCTCTCTCTCTGTAGGACTCACCTAGGCTTTGAATGTATTACTAATGAAGTGTATTCTCCATCAATCTTTTGAAGTTCCTTCTTTTCTTTTCTTTTTTAAATCTTAGCCTTGAAGAAATATCATTTGAATATTTAGTAAATTAATATAACTTAATTAGTAAATAATTAAACTTTTATCTAGTAGGAACCTGTGTTTCAATTAGTATCAGTTGTGTTGGTAATTTTGTTAGGTTGTTATTAGTGGGTTAGTTGAGATAATCTCTAACTTGCAATCAACTCTTTAGTTGATTAATTGTGCATTAGCATGATTGTGGATTGTATTGGTTTTTAATAATAAAGTTCATTGTATCCGTATATGAGTTAAAGAATCATTGCCAATGATAGAAAGTTCTGCTTATTTCAACAATATTTTTAAGCATGAGCATACTCTTTTTTTGTTGATAGAAAGTTCTTTGATGTTATGTTGTTCCCTATGCTGATAATTGCGCTATACCGACATGTGGAATACCACAATATATTGATCGGTTCACGGTTTCATTTGCGGTAACCTAACCGCAACCACCTCTAGTCAATCACATCCAAAAATACCAACCGGTCTAACTAAGAGGAAATGACCTTTTTCATAATTTTTTTTTAATTATTTAAAAAGACCTTGATTTTTAGATCAATGATCTTAAGTTCAAACCTCCATGGCACCTCGATAGTATGTGTGAGAAACATTCTCCCTCTTTTTATTTTATATCAAATTTGACACATGTATTTAATTTATATAAACATAGAAATTAAAAACAATAATTTTTTCCATATAAAAATAATATACACATTTTATACAAATGATATTAGGGGGAATCGAAGGTAGCACCTCGAGTGCAAAGATAAAAATAATATCTTTTTAATTAACCAAAAAGTCATCATTCCACCATACTATAAAAGAAACCCAAAAAACCCCAAAAAAAAAAAAAAAAAAACCCCCCCAATAAAAATTCTCCCTACATTGAATGGCTCTGAGGCACATAATAAATGAAGGAACACGTGCATGATGCTAGGCTTCTTAAAATAGGAGAAAGATTTACATGAAATGGGGATAACACTATTTTGATATATCATGACCAATAAAGCTATGACTCGTGTGATAACACTTTTATGTGACATAACATTATTGGCCTGAAATAGCGAAACAATGATATTCCCGTTGCAACTAAGTTTTTCTCCCAAAATGAGCTAGTAGGTGTTAGGTGGCATGTCTCGAATAGTCAGAATCCAACCATTCAGCGGATGCCATGTTAGATAGTACTCAAGAATTCCACATTGAAAGATAACATAAAAGGCAAAACTCGTATCCATTTATAAAACGATTGTAGTACTTGCATAAAGAAGGTACACCACCCTCTTCCACTTAAAGCCTTTGCTACTTTTTTTTTTTTTTTTTTTTTTTTTTTTTTTTTTTTTGTGGTAACAAAGAGGGCTAAGCCCAAACAACAACTAGACATAAATCAATCTAGACCTTAAAAGGCCATCCTTGTCATCTTGGAGAACACCGGTAATACCACCAGGAGGCAAAACAAAGCAGTGAATACCCATTTCCATCTCATGCCCCATCTTGGCCAGAGAGTCAGCAGCAAAATTAACCTCCCTGAAAACATGAAAGATGCTGTAGTCCCAGGAACTCTTCCAACAGACTTTGCACATGTTTAGCAAAGTAAGGAGGGGGTGATTCGGCTCCAACTTAGCATTCAAAAGGTGCAAGCCAATAGTAGAATCAGTTTCAACAATAAACTTTGTCACTTGCAACCTTTGAGCTAGTTTTAGACCATGATACAACACCCACAGTTCAACCACCAAAATCTCCCCATGACCCAAATTAGCTGAAAAACCTGCCACCCACTCACCAGCAGAATTACAAATAAGGCCCCCAGCGGCAATAGCGCCACTAGAACCAATTCTAGACCCATCAATATTCAGTTTCATGACAGAAATATGGGAAGGCTTCCACGCAAGCGAAGTTTGCATCCTGAGTCTATGGATCCCACCCTTTTTATTAGCAATGTCTCATTCCACAAAAAACCTCAAAATCCATTCATTGGACAGATCAGGATAGTGGAAGGAAGAGTTAAAGACAAAGAAGCATCTCCATTTCCATATAAACCAGCAACCAGTAGCAAAAATATTGCACCATTGCAAGTTGAAAGAATTAACAACAGCTGTTTTCAGGTTTAAACGCAACCAACAATTAAAGTCAGTAGATAGGGATACCTTAACACAATCAGGTAAGGAGAAAGAGTTCCATATTGCTTGAGCTTGAGGACAAAGGATGAACACATGTTGAAGCGATTCCAAATGGCAATGACAAAACGGACAGGCTGAATTATTTGTCATCTTCCTTCTTGTTCTCTGCACATTGGTCAGAATTTTATTTTGGGATAACAGACACAGAAACACTTTTAATTTGGGAGGAATCTTAAGCTTCCAAATAAAATACCAGCTATCATCACCCCCTTGAGACAAGCTGGAACAAATATTATAGGCAGATTTAACTGTGAACTCCCCATTGGAACTAGGACCCCAAAAAAGCCTTTGCTACTTCAGGGTAAAGTAACTTAAGCATAGAACAATTGGGTCGTATAGCGCGGGTACCACTTTCAAGTGACCCTTTGGCATATTTATTTATTAGGAATGGACAATAGCGGATTCATGATTGTTACCGCATGCGATCGTGGTGTAAAAGTTCTAAATAAAAATAACTCTGAAATATAGAAAGATAGTACTTCCATTCATAAT